CTTCATAACATGCTAGATAAGAAAATTGGGGGCTAAAAAAAGTAAGTGACTTTCCATTTCCTCTCTCCTAGTAAAGCTACTCGCATGAGTACCACTGCTGCAATTTTCCATGGCTTCTTGTTTTCAGAAGTGTCTCCTTTTCCTTGTCCACCGACAAACATAGCGTCTGTCCTGCCACAGTATCTATATTGCCCTTTATAGCCATTATCGCCTCTTTCCAAAATGCCTACTGTGGGAGGGCACGCCCATGAACTGGATATTTTCCTTTTGTATCACTCAGATTTCCCTGTCATTTGACAAAAATACTTTGCAGGTTCAAAAATCACAACTTCCACAGATAAGAGGGTGTTGCTACTTTCGCCTATCTTTAAAATGATTTCAAAGTTATTTGATGGATATGGTTAACAATCAGTTATTATTTAAAAAGCAAAGGGCACCACGCTACTCTGTTAGAAAAATCCAAAATGCATCGTTAGACCATATTTTTCCTGAACCAAGCAAATGTCACAAACACATGAGCAAGACTTGGAATTCTCCACAACTCTTTCTTGAGGTATCTTTTCAGAAAAGAAGAAGTATGGGAGAGAAGGAGAGATGGTAGTGATGCCACATAGTCACATTATAAATGTAAGAGTGTAAGATTAAATGTACACATTTAGGCACACTAGCGTCTGTTAAGAGCCATATAGATTTCAGACAGTGGTAGAAAGTGAGGTAGAGGTAAACCAGTGAATAAACAATGTACTGCAATCAGGTAATGATCAATCAGTGAGTAAATAAATGATGAACGGAGCAAGTATCAAAGAAACATCTAGAGGACGAGCTAAATCAATAGGAAAGAGAAGCCCCAGAAAGGATAAGAAGTTGGCAGTGACAGACTTCAGCAACAGAAGAGACAAGCAGGATTGGCAGCAAAATATTGCCCATGTATCCTCGCACTTACAAGGGATGCTCCTCTAAAGAGTTCCAGTCGGTCATTCTATCCAAGAAGGGCTTCCCCTTCCCATCCTAGAAAAGTAAATCTCTCAGCATCACATTCTTGGATTAAAAAAAATGGAAGGGAGTGTGTCCTTGCGGCAACATTCTCTTTAACAGATTGTACCCATGCCCCCTAGAATTCTTGTAGGATTTCTCTTGAAGTTTTGTGTTTTGTTGTTGATGATGCTAAAGAAATACCGAACTGTGCAGGATTGTTACAGTTCTGTCTGTGAAGAATGGCATCTTTCCACAGTAGATTCACCTGCAAAGAGCAAAAAGCTGTGCAGAAACTGACAGTCAGGCATGCAGAATAATACGCAGGGGTGGTGGTGGGGTGGGGATGAGTGAAGAGAAAAGAGGACCAAGATCTCACTTTAGTAGGAACCTTGGGAAGCTGATGCAGGGTTAAGTCTTGTCAAGGAATCTCAATATGCTGAGCGCAAGGAATTTTGTGTATATTCCTCAGATCCCCATTCTACACCACAGTTTTCGCCTCTTCTTTACTAATGGTCACTCTTGCCCTATGCCGGCATTTGCCTGGATACATGGAAGCTAAATTAGCAATAGGGACGTAGGTGTGCAGGTTGGCCCCATCTCTAAAAGTGCATTAACTTTACAGAGCTCTCATTAATGGAAACCCAAACTTGTCTATATTTTTAAGTGAGCTAGCCCAACACATCCGTAAAATGCAGTTTCTTTCATACTGTGTTCTTCTCCAAACATTGCAATGCATTTGTTGCTCAAGCATACATGCAAAAAATGTGTATAGTGGGAGATATTAGATCCAAATATTCATATTGTACAAGATATTGTGCAAAACGTTCATATTTTAGAAATAATGACATGCAAAAAAGGGACTAATGAAGTACAAACATAAATATCGATATTTGTGCAGGTAATTTGCAGGCTAATGTGAAGGTGACTTGTAACTACTATGAAACAGATTTATGGGTGAACATTCATGTACATAGCATGGACCAAACAGTCAGACTCATCCCCCTCCCTCTTGTTTCTTGATGGACCTATTTTGTCCGCGGTCAGTATCAGCGCTCAGTATTAGAAAAGAGCCATGTGAGAAAAATACACACAAAAACAAGCAATCAGGTAGAACAACTTAATTCAAACTGGACAATGAAGAAGAAATGTGTAATTGTGTAAATTGCAACAGTGAGTTGGCAATTAATGTTGTGCAAGTGGCATGTGCTGTGAACACAAGCAGGAACTCAGTATAGCAATTCACCACTCCAATTTATACAATTCCATTGATGCTGATGTAAATCCCCAACAGGATGGGGCCATCATATTGTTGATGGATAAATATAAAGAAATATCAGACAAGAACGGGGAAAAGAATTCGAGAAGTATCATTCATTACTCGTCTTCTGTGATTTAAACGTAATAGGAGCTTTCTGAAGAAAAAATGTCTCTCGTAATTATTTGAATGGTTATATATTTTGTAAAATGGCCATCAAATCTACAGGTAGTTTAAGAGTCGAGCTTTTCTTGCATGTTTCATCCTCTTAATTTCCAGACCAATCCCAATGCGCACATATCACTGAAAACACAAAAGACCCAGCAATCCCTTCCAACATTTTTCTATATTTCTTGTTCTAATATTTCAACAACTGTTGAAGAAACTGAGATCTGCATAACAGAAATAATTTCTTTTAAAAAATTGTTTTTAGCAAAGCACAATAGCACCCAACATCTTTATACAAACAACCTGCATACAAATACGAGTGGATGGTGCTAAAGGAAGCAGATCCTGTGTTTTCAGACTTTACCCTGAACTGCACCTTGATTTCCATGCAGTCCCAGTGATGGAATACATACAGATGTGTATTGGTTCCGGAGGAACGACGCCATATTGTAAATTTCAGTTGCTGTCTGCAATTTACGCACATTCATTTGATGACATTTGCTACGCAGGCACCAATTTACGTAAGCAGTTTCTGCTGCCTGCTGTTTATGTAAATAGTGACAGCACTGATATAAACTGTGAGTTTTCAGCTTAGTGAGATAGAATTTCAACAGGTCAAATATGGCTCTTTCACCCTGAAGCCTGAATGTTAAAAACAAAATGTGCACATCTGCATGAGAATGTGCTTCACGTTGTGTCTTTTGATGTCACTTCTGATTTACATTTCTAAAAGTTAGTTCTTATCACATCAGGCCATACAGAGGGTAATATTAAACACACAGTAAAATAAATGCTAATATTATCTTCTGTTTGTATCTAGCCTCAAAGAGAGAAAGATCCATCTCCTGGTGCCTCTGCCATTTTGTTTGTCTGTTCAAATTTCTCATATACATTGAAAAGCAGGGTGCCACACTGCAAACCATTGTATTAGATTCCTTTTTAATACAGGCATGAATTCAAAGAGATATACAGTATTTTGCAATGCTGTTGGTTTCCTGGCTTGTTCCTAAAATGCCATGAAACAAGGATTCTAGCAATGGCGTAAGGCATCATGAAGGGAGAGAAAATAGGGTGCATCGCTGGTAAACATACTGTAGTAATTTCCTTGCAATAATTGATGGCCGTAAGGAGAGCGCATCTGTGGTTCCAGATGTGAAACAGCAACAGATGGGCAGTTCTCTATTGTATTGATAATAAAAAGTGACCTAACACTCTATTTAGGGAAGTAGAGCTCCTATTCCTTGGCTGTTTACAAAGTAGGAAATATCACGATAAGCAAACTGACTCAACTCAAAGCAAAGCAAAGCAAAAAAGAAATAGAAGGAAAGAAAAGAAAGAAAGTAGATAAATAGTGATCCAACTTTGTTACAAACATGGTGCAATCCTGTATTTTTAATATAAACACAGATGACCTTTCAGTTTGTTCAACTTTTTTGTCCTCAGCACAGGAAGCCACAGATGATCTTTATCAGAAAGCAGAACCTTCCAGGCTACTCACTTCTAAAGAGCTGAGGGATAGATTATGGGCTGTGTTTCAGAGCCTGACTGACTGAATCACCGCTATCTCTTCAGAGCACATGCTGAAAACATGACACAAATATTGACCAAGAATTGAGAGGTGGTGTCACATAGTGGTAAAGCGTGTGAGCTGTAGGAGGAAGGAAGTCCCTGATGTTCATTTTACCTCAACCACATTCTCACTATATGTCTTGAGGCAAGCCAGTACTGCCTCAGCTTTGCTTCCCCAATTTCGGCAATATAGAAAAAAAAATACACACTAGTTTGTAGGGCTGGTGTAAGCAGCACTAATTATGACATGTTGAAGCTCTAAACTATGTCAAGTTTAACAGTCCCTCTGACATTAATCTGCATTATGCTAATACATTTTTCTTGGTTTTTGAATGGGTGGGGGTTATTCAGAGGCCTGTAGAGCCTTTCATGCTGGCAACGCAGGCACAACATTTTGCAGCAATATTGGGCCATTTTCTGGATTTTTGGATCATGGGTTCAGAAGCACAATATCCCACATTCATAAACTGGAAGGTTTTTTTTAAGAATTGAATTCCCTGGCTTTTTAAAATAGGAATTTAAATATACATACGCTACCCACAATTCCAATCAGAAATTTCCCTGATTCGGAATTACCCAGTAGTAGAAGATTCCAGAAAATGAGCATATGACCTGTACTGTGGTTACTGGAGGAAGACAGAAGCGAGAACTTCTTGGATGTGGCTATAATCCCTCTGTGCCAAAATATTTTGAAGGGCTGTTTTGGATTTAAAGAAACAGTTATGCAAAGGTGTGAGTTAAGTACAACACATACAGTGGAGAAACATACACACTAGAGATTGGCACGAACCTCAGTTTGGAGGTTCATGCTGTTTCATTGGCATGGCGCCACAGGTACTGCACACTCCCTTCCCCCACCCGTGTCAGCTTCCCCACTCACCCGTTGGCACGCGGTGCTTTTCCCCTGCTCTTTGCATGATCGTACAGTCACAACAGGAACATAGACTTCCCTTCTCCGCCTCCTCCAGGTGCCCAGTCAGATGAGGAGGCGGGGCAGGGATTCCTGCAGTGCTGCCTTTGAGTTGGTAGCTGCTGGAGGAGGTGGAGAAAGGAAGTCTGTGCTCCTGCTGAGACTGGATGACTGTGTGAATAGCAGGGAAAAAGCAGCACACACCAGCTGGTGAGTGGGGAAGCTGGTATGGGAAAATGTGTGGTGCCATGCCGATGAAGCCGCATGAACCACAGAGCCAAAGTCCATGCCCATCTCTAATACACACCCTTTAACCTCTTAGTTAAACTAATGCTGCCATGCCCGCTCCGCCAAAAGCAGACTGGAAAATTATGTTCCAATTTCAATCCCTTTCTATGAGTTAAGCAAGCTGAGGAAGCAAAGCTGTACTGGACCAAAACCTCTATGGATATGTTGTGTATCTGTTTTCCAAAATATGTCCCTTTTGCTTTTTGAAATAAAAAAAAAGGAAGAGGCTGAAATTAGCAAAGAATGTAACTGGAAAGCAAGGTCAAAGTGCCGTAATGCATACTGTGTGAAAGGAAGATAATGAAGAAAGAGACAAGGACAAAAATCAAGTCATTTGAAATGTGGTGTCGATAGAGATACTAAAAACATCCAGCAATCAAGTCATTTGAAATGTGGTGTTGATAAGAGATATTGAAAACATCCAGAAAAGCAGAAAAGTGGGTGCTCAGTTCAGTCAAGCCTGAACTCTCACTGTGGCAAAAATGAGTAATCTGAGTTTATTGTATCATGTGAATATAACAGTAGTTGTGCTTCTAGAATTTCTTTTTCTTTTTTTTTTAGGAACTCCCATCCTTCTTTGACTCCTTTTCTTGTCAGGATCCCCTGAGTTTATTAAAATTAGCTTTCTTAAAATCCAGCACATATGTGGCGCTACACTCTTCATTGGTTTCTTTTGAAATCAAGAATTCTAGTAGAACATGGTCACTCTCTGCCAGAGTTCCCCTTACTGCTACTTCTTCCACCAAGGTGTCTCTATTTGTTAGAATCAAGTCAAGGATAGCTTAGTCCTCTAGTTTCTTTCTCCACTTTTTGTAGAAGAAAATTATCAGTCACACAAGCAAGGAATTTCTTGGAAGGGCCATACGTGGCAGAATTTGCCTCCCAAAAGATATCAGGATAACTGAAATCTCACATCACTACTACACTGTATCTCTTTGAAATCCTTGCAATTTGTTTTTCAAAAGTTTAATCCTCATCCCTCCTTGATCGAGCACTCATTAGTAGACTCCAACTACCATGTTCCTTTTGTTTTTTGCCCCAGCTAGATTGATCCAGATGCTTCCAATGGAACAGGCAATCTCCTCCTGCTGCATTTCTGTGCAGGAGTGCATATTTTTGACATACACTGCAACTCCACCTCCCTTTCTATTCTTTCTGTTCTTTTTTAACAAATTATATCCTACAATTGCTATATTCCAGTCATGGGATTTATCCCATCAAGTTTTAGTTATTCCTACCGAGTCATATTTACCGGCCTGCTCTTTTAGTGCATTTTATGAATATTATTATTAATGTTAATATTATTATTATTGACCCCTTATTTTTATTATAACCTCTTATTGTGTGCAAGACTTCACCCATCCTTACCTCTGTGCTTGTGTCTCCCTCCAACTTCCAGTTTAGTTTAAAGCCCTCCTGTTGAAGTTCTTCATGCTGTGCCCAAACACATTCTTCCCAGTCTTTGTGAGGTGCAAACCATCTCTTACTGGCAGTCAATTTTCTAGGAAGCTTACCCGTGATCCCAAAAACCAAATCCTTCCCTCCAACACCACCTTTGTAGCCAGTTGTTCCACTAGAATATTTTCCTTTCCCTTTTCTATTCCTTTTTTGAGTACTGGTAGGATGGATGAGAAAACTCTCTGGGCCCCAAAGTCTTTAAGTTTCCTTCCCAGAGCTTTGAGGTCTGATGTGATCTCTTTGAAATTTCTCTGAGATGTGTTGTTTGGTCGCACAGAAATGATAAGAAAGGGATATGTATCCGTGGGTTTTATGAGTGATGTCAATCCTGTCACATCCCTAATCTGTGCTCCAGGGAGACATCATACCTGGGGGGTCCATGGTACTTCCCGGCATAGCTCAGTTTCAACCCCTTGCAGTACAGAGTCTCCTATTACAACTATTCTTCTCATCCTTTTGAAGGGTATGGGTTCAGTGCATCTGCTTGGCTAGGTTTCAGTCACTTTCATGTATTCCTGTCCCTCTCATATACTCACTCTTTGACATTGTCTGCTTGCTGTCCCCCAAATTCCTCAACAAGAACCTGAAAGCAGATGGCATTCTGGCTAATCAGAATGTGTCTGGAGTCATGATTTCTGTGTTTTAACCTATGGACACAAATGGGGTCTATGACTGGACAGTGGTTTGGGGACCATCCTAGTTTAAAATCATGTGGATCCATGAGGATCCATGTTTTGCACTACTACCAAACCATGCACTGGGGGACTCATTATTTCTGTGGTGTAGTCTGTGGGCATGGATGAGTTCTATGACTGGATAGTAGTTTGGGGATGTTCCTATGTAAAAAAAAAAAAATCATCTGGATCCAAGAACTGGTGGATAGCTCAGGGGTTTAGGCCTCTGGCTGGGAGTTCAATTCCCCAGGGTGCCTTCTTGTCAGGGACTGGACTTGATGATCCATAGGGTCCCTTCCAATTCTGCAGTTTTAAGGCTATTATTGCTATTGCTATAGACCGTGCCTTGAATCAGTCTCTTTGCAGCACTACAAAGCTATGTGCTCCGGAAACCAAGATTTCTGAGTTGTAATCTATGGCCACAAATGGGACCAATGTCTGAATAGTGGTTTGGGGATGATGCTACGTCAAAATCATGTGGATCCATGAGGATCTGTGCATCAGATCCATGTTTTTGCACCACTGCAAAGCTATGCACTGGGAGACCCATGATTTCTGTGGTGTAGTATGTTGGCAGAGATGGAACCTCTGATTGGACAGTGAGATTTGGGGATGATCCTGCAAATAAATACTGTAATGTGGATTCATGAGAATCTCTGGGTCATATTGGTGTTTTGCATGACTACAAAGCCATGCCCGGAAGGACTCACAATTTCTATGTTTTAGTGCAAGGGCAGAGGTGCAACCTATGTTTGGACAGTGGTGTGGGGATCCATGCATCAGATCCATGTTTTTGCATGTTTTTGCAAAGCCATACCCTGGAGGATCCATAATTTCTGTAGTGTAGTGTGTGGGTACAGATGGGGCCTTTGCATGGAGAGTTGTTTCAGGGTGATCCTGTGTAAAAAAAGTCTTGTGGATCTATGAGTATCCATGCTTCAGATGCATGTTTTGTGCCACTGCGAAGCCATGCACTTGGAGACCCATGATTTCTGTGGTGTAGTCTGTGGGTGCAAATAGGATCCATGATCTGACATTGGTTTAGGGAGCACAACATCTAAAAATCATATGAATCCATAAACTTATGAGTAAACTGGGTAAACTTACTCATGAGTAAAACAGGTAACACATGCTTTGAGATCATTCATTGCCCTGAAGGGGAAAAATAGTAATTTCAGAGCTTAAATGAATGAGCTGCTGTATATTATCTACTTTTTAAAAGTAACTTTAAAAATATTTCCATACACAGGGCTAAGAATGTGTGCCCAGGAAGGCATTAATTTTTTTCTTACACACTGAAGGACATGGCAGGGTTAAAAGTGGCAGACACCTTCCCTGTGGGCTGACTTGAGACACATTCTGAATGGCCAGAATGCCATGATATGCAAAGAGGTCCTTTGGAATTCCAGAAGTTATTTTAAAAAGGCAGCGATTTCAGACATTTTAAGGGGTTAAAAAGCAGCAATTAAAGGGTCTGACTTAGAGACATCCATATGTCCAAACTTGTGGATGAAGAAAAGGAGGTTAAAACAGAGGTTTTTCTCCCCTCACATATGGAAATGTTGTCCTATATAAAAATTTTCATGTATTTTCTATTAGCTGACAGAACGGTTGCTTGGTTCTGCATGGGGGTAAAACAGCGTGTTTTTTTTAAATCACAATTCAAAAACCCTTTGCCCAAACAGCCCCAAATTTGGCACAGAGTAAGGGCAGACATTCTGCTACATCCATGCCAAATCTGGTGCTGATCTCAAGTCCAGTTTCATAGTTATGCTTGCCCCCATTTTTTATTTTGCTTGTAGAATCTTGCTTACTGTGTCCATACAAAATATATGGCATGACTACTATGATGCCATAAAGTTAGAAAAGCCATGTGATAAAAGTTGGAAGTTTTTAGTTACCAAAAATCACTCTCTTTCTATGACATTATTACCTGTGAACAGGTGTAAGATATGCAACAGGATTTCATCCAATGCAAAAGAAATACTTGTAATGGTAAAAAAATGGGGGGAAAATCCCCACCAAAACTACTATATGAGCATAAAGACTCTGATGGTACTTTAGTGTGCATTATGGTGTGCTATTGGATCAAAATTCACTTTTTCTGATGCATGTCTCCCTGCAAAACATTTACAGCACAATTAGGAAGGATTCAATGTAGCTAATGGGACTTAGTTTCCCTTTAAATTTTCCAGTAAATGTCAGAAACAATGACACAATAGTTTTGTTTCACTAAAACTGATCATGGCGAATGTTATTTTTCACATTAAAAAGTGCAAAGGAGGATAACATTTGATCACCAGCACTACCAGTCTTGATACTAGTATATATCAAGATTCACAGAACAAATTGAATTTCTAGCTACATATTGATAATTAGCTGGCGGGAATCTTATGCCCGAGTTTACAAAATTTACCTAAGGAAGGAATTCTCAGCTGAGTATCCAGAGCATAACAGGATATGACTAGGCATGAGCTGAAACAAGTTTATTTAATCACATGCATATGTAAGCTTTTAAGGTTTAAAAGTGAGTTCTGCCAGTATTTTTGACCAGTAAAGTCTCAGTTCTATGTGCAGCATCAAACAAACATCCATCTTTCAGGGGAGATCAAGATGAAAGAACAGCTAATTTGCCTAAGAAGTTATGTTCATATTTATGCCCATATTTATCTAAAAAAATCTCACACACCCCATTTTCTTAAGACTATTAGTTATTCAATTGTCTCTTTTTTTTCCTATCATGCAACAAAAAACAAAGCAAATTAAATACAAACCTGGCAGTAGATTAAGGAAAATCTATCAGAATTGCACATATAGAATTGGCTCAAAGAAAAACAGAAGGATTTGATCAAACTAATGTGAACGACAGTTTGTTCACATTAAGCGCTTTCTGCATGGTTATGACATGGGAACTTAGATTTTTTTAAATCAGAAGAAATCAAAGATTTCAAACAGGAATACTGAGGTTTAGTCTCTTGAGTATGCATAGGATAGAAGTGAAGTTAAACAATATGCAGGTTTGTGTGTACAGACCTTGTACACATGCCCAAAGCCTAAAGAATGGTATTTAGTTCCCTGAGAATCTCAAATTTAATTAGGAGAAAAAGAAGAAGTAAGAAATGAGCCTATATAAATGCTGAGATAGACCTGAAAGTGTGTGAACGTGGCTAATAGAAGCCATCTGTGTATATGTGGGAGGCCTATAAGGTTTTTCAGGGAGAGAGAGCAGCACTGCTATGCCATAATCACGTCACCCATTCATGTAACTAGCAAAAGCTGACTAAAATATCTAGAATAAGTAAAAATTGTGTATATTTATTCATTCTCCATACTAAATACAGGTTAAGGAACTCTATGGGCTGTCCCCACGCAAATATGTCATTTACTAGGAATTTCCCCTGCCCCAAAAAAACACATCTGCAAAAGCCCTTTCAACCCATCGCTGATGGGCTAGCAACTTCCTCTTCCTTTCCCCCTGCAGGTGAGCAGCCAAGAAACTTCCCATTTCTCAAGATCATTAAGCACTTTCAACAAAGGGACAGCCAGGCAGCCACTTTGGTTCAATCCCACAAACCATATACACTGGAACTGAACCAAAACGGAGCAATTCTACCCACAATAAAAAACAAAACAAGCCAGTAGCCGCTGAAAGGGACACAAAAAGGTGTAGGGAGGGATCTATCAGGGGTGGGCTGGTTTATGATGTTACATACATGATGTGGTCACTGGGAAAAGAAGCGTGCCAGTCCATCCCCCAATCTGGAGAGAAACTATGGGAGAAATGCCTGTTTAATTGCACTCTCAACTCAGGACCAAAGTACACATCACATGAAATAGATCAGTGGCAACTGTACCGTTTTAAAAACCAACAAACCACAAATAAAAAAGCTTCAAGAAAAGAACAAAGAAAACAAACAAACAAACAAACAACACAGGATCACTGACATTCTAGTTTCTTCTTATTATTTAAAAATATTATTAAAAATTCTTATTATCATAATTAAAATATTCTACTTCTACTAATTTATTTCTAGGACATTCAGAAAGGTCTTGCCTGCCACCCAGCTGTTTATTGTACAGTGTTTGTTTCAAGAAACAAGGAAGTGGCAATTCAACTGCAGTGTTCAAAAGTAACTAATCAGACTTCTTCAATGCACCATAATGAGCTGCATTTATCTTTCAAATGGTACAACTTTAATTCCCCTTTATGAGCATTAGGAATTTTGTTTCTCAGAATGACTTAATTAAAATCAAAGAAATTGTTTTGATCTCTCCCTCTTACTCTTAGTTAAAGACTGTCTTGAGCATAATACTCATTACAGCAAACAACTGCACACTTGGAAATCTCAAATTAGAACATTGTCTCTCCATCGGCATCAGATATTACAGAAAAGACAGCTACAGTAAAAACTAGGGCCAGCTCCTAAGGACCAGCATTTTAAGAAACCATTCTCCAACCTGGTGGTCTCCAGGTGCCTTGCACTACAAAACTCTTGCTGACGGGGCTCTAAAATCTCTACTACTGCCCCTCTCCCTGTAACCTGTGTTTATTTAAAGCCTAGTGTTATGCAAGAAACACATTTAGGTACCTAGCCAAAGGTCAGGGAAGAAAGTAATGAGATACCAAAAGTAGGATCAACAAAAGAAACAACATTTCCCCCACTTCCACACATAACTTTTATCATTTATCTCAATAGTTTATCATTAAAAGCTTCACCACATAAAAATGACGTAATAAACCACATGCCACTATGCTCCGAGGGCCAGTTAGTTATAAAATAGCACATATCTGATGCCAGTTTTGCTTGCTTTTGGTTATGTTTTAACTAGGGATTTGCATCAGATTGAGAAGAATCCTTATCCCTCACCTGGGTCCATTTGTGGAGCTTCCTGAGATGAAATGGACTTCCCTCTGAATTGACCAGAGTTGAAGCTGGAACCACATAGAGTCTTATTAGCACGCCATGCTTTGGTAGGGTTGAAATCTTAAGTTAAAAAAATGATGTTTGGGGTGGGAGGTGTTCATGTCTGTGGAAATGGTGGGGGCAGGGAACAGGAGAGTGGGTGAACGCAGTTGACGGACAGGCCTTAGGTCTCTCCATATCAGGGCATTTTGAGAGGAACGACTGTCTGTAACCTAATAACAGTTATTCTTCCTTTCTTTAGGTAGGTTTTTATGTAGCATGCATTTTAGCATTAAGATGAGCAGTGGGGTGTCTTCATGTTCTGCTTGTTCACAACTGGACTGGGCAGCTAGTGGCCCTCCAGGTATCACTGGACTATAGTTCCTTTCATCCGTCACTACTGGCTGTGCTGCTGAAGGATGATGGAAGTTGTTGTTGTTTTTTTGGCGGGGGGGAAATCTGGACAACCAGTTTCCTATCCCTTATTTTGCAATTTCAAAAACCTTTCTTTACCCCTTATCAAATATTTTAATATACCTTCCTGAGGAATAAATTCATTCTTTCTTTTATTTATTTATTGTTGTTTAATTTATATATCCTCATCGCTGTGAACTAGGACTCTGGAAAACAGGGTTCTAATCCTGCCCCCCATACTGGGGGACTGAAACTGGTAAAACCAATCCTTAAATGTCTCACTTTTGACCTTAAAAGTCCTATTAGGTTGCTGAAAGTCAGTTTGATTTGACAGCACAGAACAGACACATACCACTGCTTTTGTTTTAATTATCATCTCTCTATAGTGTCTGTGTTTAGCATTTACAATTTAAGCAGTGGGTTAGGCAGTTCTGCTAGTTAGAAAAAAGAGAGTATTCATTTGAATTTGTCACATGGGCGAGGGGAACAAGGAGTTCAGTCCAAGCAATATGAGTTTCCCATTGTGAATAAGAAAAAAAGTTTTTAAAAATCCCGGTCCATTTTTCTGTTGAACCTACAGCCACTGATGTAAAGCAACACAGTAGCATGAGCCGATCTTAAACAATATTACATGTGGTGAGAGGAGCATGCTAGCTCCACCTGCTCCACCATTGCTTTCAACATGTGAAAGTGATAGTCTGAAGAGCAGGAAGGTGTTCTATTTGGGCAGCCTTTCCACATGAGCCACAACTTTGGAAAATCCTGCCTGAAATGGTGAAGAGCCACTGCCAGTCTGAGTCAGCTCCTAGGGGCACGTTCCTTCTTAGTTTTGTATAGCAATTCCCAGAATTTTCCAAGAATTCCAGGACCTGCATCTTAGAAACTCAAGTCTGCACACTGTAGTTTGCCCTCACCCCTGAAATGCTTTTGAGTCATTTACCTGCACCATTGGCTTCTGCAGCCTTGATAAGTGTTGCTGATTTGTAAAGGAAGCTGCTGCGTTGCTGCCATGGAGTCATTATCTTGATACTCATTAAGTTGTATAGAAGACACCTCCCAAAGAACTACAGCTCCAAGGAAGCATTGCAGAAGCTTTCTTTTTTTAACAAATCAACAGGGAGCAAGGGTACAAAGGCCAATGGTGCAGGTGAATGACCCAAAAGCCCTTCTCTGGGGGTGCATGTGAGGAATCTACAGGTTTGATTTGAGTTTGAGATTTGAGTTTCAGGACTGTAATTCCCAGAATTCTTGACGAATTCTTCAAGAAATCATGCTGTGCTCTTTGTCAGCACAACAAAGTCAGCCAAGCCACTCCATTGCATCCTATTTTCCAGATCCAACTCTCATACTCCTTTTTAAAACCCTCTTCCCTGATCCAATTCCTGTTTTAAATTCAGGATGTGATAGGCAGCCCAATTATTCCAACCTGGATTGGTGATTTTGTTAGCTAATCAGTTCCTTGGAGGACTACTGAGATCAGCCATCCAGTTCAGCAGCAGCAGGAGCAATAAAATATTCATGTTTTATATGGTTTCCTAGCTTGTTAGAGCTACTCCTGGAGAATTCTGGGAGTTGCAGTCCAAACACATAAAAGAGCACACCCCAACTGGCTCCACATAAACCAAAACATGAAAAGCATAGACTCCCCCTTTTCAAAGCATCATTCTCATGTGTTGAAAGCAATGATGAAACACTCTCTCCTCTTTGCATGTGGGATCCATATACTGTACTTTAAGAGAGTAAGGGACTTGGTGCTTCATAAGAAGAACAGCATCTTTGTTGGTACCAAGCACACCATCTGAATTTGGGTTTGAAAGACAAAGGTGAATTGAGGATCTAGATGGAAGCATGCACAGTTAGTGATACTGCACACTATTGTTCCTGACCACAAGTATAAGGTAAGAATTTCAGCTTCCAGTTTCTTGGCTTTATGGTATGTAATCCAACATAAAATAGCCTTAACTCAAATCTTAAACTAGAGCACCGATCTTTAAAAAGTCATTGACCAAAATTGTCTTGTGTAAATTTGTTCCTGTGCATGCAGGCAACATATTTAGCCTCAGGCTTTTAATTTTTTTAATTTTTTTCCTATTTTTTATCACTCATTACATGTTTCCTATTCTAATCCCGCCAGGTTCCAAGGCTCTCTTAGGATCTCTTCAATCTGGGGAAGTCATCAGCCTACATTGGCATAATATTATGCAACAGGATTTTGGCCATTGAATGTATACGTAAGCTGCATTAAAATGAATACCGAATAAGTAAAGACCCAAGATGGATGAGTAACATGGTTAATTCTCTGGAAATTGATAAGAAAAGGGGCTGGACAAAAAGGCTGCTTTTCATAGTACGTATGCCCTTTTACAGCTGCCATTCCTTTCCATGGGTCTTATGAAGGAGATCCACCTGGTGGGTTTTGACTGTTCTCTGCTGGGCTTCTTTCTGACTGCTGAACAGGCTCTCAGCTGTTCTATTAGCAAGATAAGTGTCAAAGTGCATGGAGGGGGGGGGCTCTAAATCAACAGCTGCTCCATTCCACTAGGACACAAAGGTCAATTTGCACAACCATCTCAAGGCAGCCTTTAAGTAAGAAAAATGCTTTTGACCTAGTCAGCCTTTTCCTAAGTGTGAACATGCCTAGTGCCACTTTTGCTGTTTAGGCTAAATGCAGAGCCACAAGGGGTCTGAATGGTGAGGATGACTGCAATTGTTCAATGTCAGTTTGAACTGTCTAGTACTTCACATCCCAATATTCAGAGTGAGTCAGCAGACAAACCAACTTTCTTCCAGGATGTAACACTGTCTTGAGGCACAGGATGTGAGAAAGAGGCAGGAAATTAGAAGACATTTCCACCACCACCCCTCAGTCCCAATCCAACATGCATGCATTTATATGTATGCTGCTAACCTCCAAAAAGGTGGAGGGGAGAATGCAGTGAATGTTAAGTAGCTGGATGGATTCTACGGTGTGTTTTTTCTTCTATTGTTTAGCAACACAGACATTTGGTCCATTCAGCCCAGTCAATCCTCACTAGAAGCAGCACTTCAGAGTTTGAAACAGGACTCTTTCCTAGATCCTCATGGAGATCCTTCAAATGCTCAACAGGTCTCCCATCCAAGTACTAACCAGATCTGGTTCTGCTTAGCTTACAATATGAGACAGGGTCATATGGTGACACTATCCTAGTTCAAAGTGGTATGGTTATAGGTGAAAAAAACTGGGCACCACTTCCTATTGATTTATTCGATGCAAAATTCTTTTATGGACAGATTTGTTTCATACCAATAACCATCCCATCTAGTTTTCTTTCAATCTCCTAATGGAAAAGCCCAGGACATGGTGCCAAGTGTGCTTTCTTCTTTGGATGGTTTAATATTCTATGTCAGTGGTTGCCAACATTTGGTAACTCTGGTGTTCTTGGACTGCAGTTCCAAGAAAATTTCCCCACTAGCTGTGCTGGCCAGGCTTTCTGGGAGGAAAAGTCCAAGAACTCTTGGGTTTCCCAAGGTTGGGAGTTAATGTTCTGTGCAAGGCATATCATTGCTATATGAGTGGTATTACAAAGTACTCCGCATGCATTATAAGGATATTTGAGCCATTTTTGTTTTTAGTAAGTGGGATACCACCACTCCTTTGCACTTCCTTTGAAACATCATAACATTTAAAAATCCATATGTTTTTTAGAGTTATCATTCCTTAGGCACTTCAATGTGTGTTATATTTGTGAAGGTTAATAATGGCTCTAAGGTGGAGATAAGGCATGAAGATATACTAAAGCAGCTTTGTCTGTAGCAGCACTATACAGTGAGTGCAGATCATACATAAAACATTCAACATGTTGTTTATTTAACTAAGAGCCCATGCCAGACAAGTCAGACTGAACAGAATACTGTAGAAATTATTGCCTTAAGTGGCTGTTTCCTGATTTCTTATTGACAAACTGCCCAATAGAGTTACTGCTTGAATGTAATGGAAAGGAAGTCTTTTACAACTTCATTTGTCAATGATGTAGCCAAAACTCTTCACCACTACAACGGAAAAATATTTGGAAGATCAGGATTATTTGCACTCTGAAGTCAGGTAGCAGGATCATATATTGCTGGTTTCTTTTCTGAAAGGTACACAGTGTGGTGTATTGGATAGAATTACATCTTACGACTCAACTAAGGAAATTCATTGGGGGAAATGGAACTGGCAAAACTACTCCTTAAATTTCTCACTTACCATGAATGCCCTATTACAGTGGGGTCTCTACTTAAGAACGTCCCTACTTAAGAACAATCCAACTTAAGAACAGCTCCATTTGCTAAATTTTGCTTCTACTTGAGAACAGAAATCCAAGATAAGAACAGGAAAAAAAACCTTTCCTGCTCTTTTTTTAACCTTAGGTCATCTTAGGTTAAAAAAAATTCTCCCCCTAGTGGTAGAGTAGGTATTAACCAGCTTTGCATTAGTTCCTATGGGAACTAATACGCACCTCTACATAACAAAAAAACAGCCAGAACGGATTAATTGGTTTTCAGTCCATTCCTATGGGAAATTTTGCTTCAACTTAAGAACGTTTCAACTTAAGAACACCATTCCAAAACGGATTAAGTTCCTCTTCACCACTACAACGGAAAAATATTTGGAAGATCAGGATTATTTGCACTCTGAAGTCAGGTAGCAGGATCATATATTGCTGGTTTCTTTTCTGAAAGGTACACAGTGTGGTGTATTGGATAGAATTACATCTTACGACTCAACTATGGAAATTCATTGGGGGGGGCCGCTGGGATTAAGTTCTTAAGTAGAGACCCCACTTTTATGGTTGTTAAAATTTCGTTCAGACATGACAGCATATAACACATACCTCTTTTCTAAAACTACTCCTTAAATTTCTCACTTACCACAAATGCCCTATTATGGTTGCTAAAATTTCGTTCAGACATGACAGCATGTAACACATACCTCTTTTCTGTACCTTGACTGACTGATTGATTGATTATACTGCCCATCTAGTGGCAAGCCACTAGTCTGGGCAGTTTACAAACATGGAACATAACCATAAGAACCCAATCCCCACCCAACCCTAAAGGTTCTAAAACAAACCCACAAAAAGCCCACAGTAGTGATAGTGAAACCCAAACAGAATCAAAGTACAACTTAAATAGCAACAATGATAAGATAAAGAGATCCTGAAAGGTTTCTCTACAGAGAAATATTTTATTTACCTTTGGAATACTGGGAGAAAAGGGGTCTGGTGTACCTCCACTGGTAATACATTCCATAAGAAGGTGGCCACCACTGAGAAGGCCCAGTTCCTGGTGATATTATTCTGATGGGCTTAAATCTAATTAGGCACACTATGATATTCAAGTTCTCTGACTTGTTCTTTTCCAACCAGAGATAGATACTATCATGGGTGTTTTGACCTTGGATGTGGCAACTCAAAACAGTTGTTTTGCATCCAAACCAGTCTCCAAGATTCTTCAGCTTAAAAGTTTTTCTCCTGTGCACTTCTTTTCCTGTTTATTTTATCTTGAATGATCAGCAGTAACATTCAGTACAATGAGTTTTTCACTATGCCACCAACTATTTTAGCTTCCTACATTTTGTGTGTTTTATGTTTCCTTGGTCTTTATTCATTGCCCTTGTACTTCTTTGTTCCATATCTTCTCAGTAATGCTTTTCATTATGCAATGAATTCTCATTTTAACTGTTCGTTTTATAGCAGCCTCTGTTAAAGACCATGATTTAATAATACCATACTACAGAATTCAGAACACACAGCATCTTACAACATGCATCTGAAAGAAGTTGCTCCAGGCCATTTCTTCTGACTTTTATTGAATGCTCTTCCCACTTCATTCAACCAGATTCCAAGATTCTTATAACTGCGAGTAGATAAATAGGTACCACCACGGTGGGAAGGTAACAGTGTTCGGTGTCTAGTCGCACTGACCACGTAACCACGGAAACCATCTTCGGACAAATGCTGGCTGTATAGCTTGGAAACGGGCATGAGCACCACGCCCTAGAGTCAGACACGACTGGACTAAATGTCAAGGGGAACCTTTACCTAACACTGTATTGTCTGCATATTGCATGTTGTTCATTGAAAATGTTATTTGAAAATGCTCTATTATTTTAAATATTTTCCATTGTTCATGTAGCATAATTGAGGTGTTATGGATCAGTTGGCATTTCTGTTACTAAATTTCTCCTTCAGCATTTTAATGTGTATCTTAATTTCTTTTAGACTGGAGCTGATATATGAGCCCATGTTCAATTTTCCTGGCGAGTTGCTAAATACAATCCATTCAACTGGTTTTTCACTTTCTATATTTAGAAAGAACAGGCAAATGGTTTTGGCCACCTCAAGCATAACATTAGCCTAATTTTTCAATCACTTAATCCTCTGTGTGAATGGCTGTTCTTTGCAATTAAAATTTGAGCCACAGAATTATTCATCCAGATCGAAATATCCAATAAAAGCCTTTTAATGTTGCTGTTAAAATACTATGACTGAACAAATGGCACCTTAGTGAAATTTGAGGCATAAAAACTAAAAAGAAAAGAGGAAACTCATCAAGGGTTTGTGGGGATATAAATCCTTGCTTCCCTCATCTTCACATGGGAGGACAAGAAATTTCAAAAATGTTGTCTTCTCTATACAATACAGTGAGACATTTTCTAGTGTTAACAGTTTGCAAAATATCTTGTGCAAATGGTATATCTCGGGCAATTCATGTAACTGGCACAAATTATTCAAAACTACAAGTGTTGCCTTGTTGTGTAGACTTGTGTGAAAGAATCAAAAGCAATAAATGATTTGTTGGCTTCTTTTTACCAACAGTCTGTCCGCCCTTTTGTATTTGCTCTGAGACTCTGTACCAGATTTATACAAATGGCCACAGAGATATAGGCTTAAATCCAGTAGTAAATCGCAATGAGACTAGGCCCACTGAGTATGTGAAGATTCTGTGAGCCTACCCCTTTTGTAAGTTCCAGTGGTTCAGTGGGCCTACTCCGTGTGCAAATTGTAGCCATTTTGATGGAGAAAATAAGCACTCCTTGTTTCAATTCTTGGTTCCTTAAAAATATTTTAAATAAATAAATTACCACTCTAAAGGTGAGCAGTCTCGGTGAACTTTGGAATTTCTTGAGGTGTTTTGGAGTGTTGAGACTACTTAAGCTAACAAGAATGAGAAATTTCATACAAATTCTTACACCCCTATCTGGTTACCTCAGAGAGTATGATAATGGCTGAAATCCTGTTGCTTAGCATAGTAAGTCATACTAAAGTAGGTCCACTGAATTTGTGGAGATTTGGCGAGTCCACTCCTCCATGGCCTACTCTGGTAGTGTGACTTATTTTAACATGTTAGATAGCTCAGTAGTTTAGGTATGTAGTTTGATTCTCCACTGTGTGGTCCTTGACAGGGGCTGGACTCGGTGAGCCATAGGGTCCATTCCAGGTCTGCAGTTCTAAGATAATGATAACAATGATGAGCAACAAATAAAGCTGAATAAATGGAACTTACAGAGGAATGGAACTTGTGTTGACTCACACACTTCACTGATTCGATGGTTCAACTCTAGTGTGAATTACTAAGATAAGAAAGAGGATTTACACCATTATACTACACAAACAACAAATCATGAAGGAAGTCCTGAAAGGACCAACTCAGCCCAATCATATGCGAAGTTATTTGGAAGTACATCCCACTGTGTCATGTAAATCACTGGTTCTTAACCTTTGTTACTCAGATGTTTTTGGACTGCAACTCCCAGAAGCCTTCACCATCAGCTCTGCTGGCTGAGGTTTCTGGGAGTTTCAGTTCAAAAACACCTGAGTAACAAAGGTTAAGAACCACTGATGTAAATAACTTTATGCATATGACTGTAATAATCAGCCATATTAACACAAAGAAGACATTTTTATAGCATGGAACCATATTTTATTATTCACTAAGAATGAGATCAAAAGGCAGGGTTTTACAGAACTGTCTGTCCCTTGAAAAATCAGAATACTTGCATAGTTTCAGCCAGTCTTTATGCTATCTGTTACTGTTGTTTTGCAAAGGGGGGGGGAAGCTAGGAGATAAATCGTCACGTTCAACTTACTGCATTTTGATACTGGACTACCCTTTGTTCCAGCTGGTGTCATTATTGGGACACCACCTCAAATAAATGTTCCATGCTATTCTCAATGAGTTCTGAGGTTAGGAAGCAGAAGCAGCATGTTCTAGTTTTTAGGATGTTGGTATATTTGGTATTGGCAGCATTTGAGCTCCCAGCAGGTTCAAGAGATGTAAGATCCATTGAACCTAGCCTGAACCCCATCTCTAGGCCTCATCTTACTGCTAACCCTCAAGATGCTGGCATTTCCTTGTGATCACCACAGGTATTTTTTTAAAAAAACCTGCCTGGTTGGGGGTTAAAAGAACAAGTCATCATAGAACTGACATTCTAATTGTCCTGCCATTCTCTCATGTACTGCCATCAAAACTCCCTTGTCTTGTCACTTCACTGTTGAGGTAATGGTCTATTTAAATAACCATAGGAATAAACATGTCTTCTTTAATAATCTTCACTCATTTCCTCTTTTCCTCCTTCACTGCTCTTAACCTTTAGTTGCCCATGGTTGCATATTTATTTGTCCCTTTACTCAGGTTTTTATAGCACCTTCCACATAACCAGCCATCAGGTATTGAGCTCCTCATCCCAGCTTGAATTAATTTGATATGATTTTATTAAAGTAATACTATCCAAAGGATGTTATTTATCCCTAGGCTTTAAATTCATTCAGCAAAATGTTTTTCTTTCTCTATCAACTTTCTCCCCCTCAAGCTCCCCCCTCCCCCTCTGTGTGTGTGTGTGTGTGTGTGTGTGTGTGTTTTTAAAAAACAGCTCTCTACCTGAGTGGTTCCCGACCTTGGATCTCCAGATATTCTTGAACTAAAAATCTCAGAACCCTTCACTACTGGCTGTGCTGTCCAGGATTTCTGGGAATCGTAGTCCAAGAACATCGGGGGACCCAAGGTTGGAACCACTGCTCTACCTAATCTTTCTACTCCCAGATGGTTCCAAAAACTTATCAGTCCCCTAGTTTCTCCCAGCCATTCAAAACCATTCCTACCAACATTCCATGGTTCTCACTCACCCTCTTCTATCATATAGAAGAACCAATGCATTTCAAAACAACTTAACTTTGACTAAACCTTGTTTATGCAAAACGTGTAACATGACATATATTCATTTAAGTAGAAGACTAC